CCTGTCCTGCCCCCTTGCCTCGCGCGGGGGGGGGGCTCAGGCCACTGCCTTGTGGGCGGCAGGGCCCCCAGGGGCTTCCTGTGGGGGGGGGGTCACCAGTGCCCGTTGAAGCATGAGCCACCTCCCCGCGCACCCAGCTGTTGCGCTACATTTCTCGGATCGCGTCGATGGAAGTTTGGCTTCTGCGGAGTTGGGAAAGCGGGGGCCAGGGGATGCGGAGGAGCGCCGGGATGTCTCCACGCCTCGCCCGCCTGCATCTGGGTCGTCGTGGGCGTGCAGCGGCAGGGAGGGGGTGGGGGTGGGGGCGGAGACGGTGCCCGGTGCTGCTGTGCCTCCGGAGGCCGAGGAGGGATGGGCGGAAGGCAGCCCGCCTCCTCCACTGTGGCCTCCGCATGCTCTTGGGCCTGAGCGGGCCAAGCCAGAGAGTGGCTTGGCCGCTGCTTGCACTTGGTGCTACACATGCCCGCCAGCCCAGGAGCGGACGTTGGCCCTGCCTGCTCGAGGGAGTAGGGAGAAGGACCGGATCTTCTCTTGCCAATGGTGTATATCCCAACTGCACATGTTGTTTGTGGGTGGATTCCTGTACCTGGCAGAAAAAGAGGAGGGCCGGAGCGGTTGGTTCTTGCAGCACCACTTCGGCAGATGGGCCTGGGGCCTGTGCCCTCGGTCTTTGGACGAAGCCTGCCCCCAAGGCCGGTGGACTTGTGGCCTCCGGGGTCCCCACCGTGTGTGCCGAAGGCTTGTTCTGTGTCCCTGCTGGAGTAGCAGCGTTTTGGAGGGTTTCCTTTGCCCTTTCGCATCCCACGTGCCTGTGCTGTAAGGAAGCGGACTTTCCTCTGGCGGCTGCATGTGCAGTGGTGACACACGCAGATACTTCTGCCCTTCCCCTACAGACTTGCCCCTCTAGAGCCATGAGGGAAATGCTACGGTTGCAGCTGTGAAGGGGGAGGCTTTTCTCATGCTTTGGGGGGGGGGCTTGCAAGCGGACTTTCCCAGGGCACCGGATCCCTAAAGCGGTCTTGACCAAAGGGTGGCCTGCCATTTCTCAGAAGCGTTCAAGGCGAAGAAAAGGTTGCTCGGTTCCCCCTGGCATTCGGTTCTGCTGGGCTCGGAGCAGGGTCTCTTTGTGAATGCCAGTGTGGGTGTGTGTGTGTTGGGACTGTGTCATGGGGGACAACACGGGGGAGGGTGGAATCTCGACCCATGGCTGCTTTGGAAGAAGCCCTGCTGCTCCCATGGGTGCCTTTCTGTCCTGGGGGGGGGGGGCGTCTGTTTCCTTGCCAGCTTCATCAGGGTTTGAGTCTGGGCGGCAGCAACTTCCCACCACATTCCGAATGGCATTTCCAGAGGGGTCTGCTGTCCTGTAGCCGCTGCCTGGGGGGTAGCGTGGGGCCGGCACACGACTGCTCAGGACATCTGTTGTCATTTCACCCACCTTGCTAGTGCCTCCCCCTACCCCCCCCCCCAAGCATGTTCATGCACAAAGGTTTCTGGGCTACCTCACGACCACTGTGGTACCCAAGAGGCCAAGCTGAGGTTTAGCACATTGTAGGTATACCTAAATGTGGCTCAAGTGGTTAAGAATGCTGAACTGCGGACCGGAAGGTCGGCAGTTCGAGACCCGAGTGCCTGCCAACCTAGCAGTTCGAAAGCAAAGAAACTGCAAGTAGATAAATAGGTACCGCTTTGATGGGAAGGTAACAGCGTTCCGTGCAACTCGGCGTCTAGTCATGCTGGCCACGTGACCATGGAAATGTCTTCGGACAGCGCTGGCTCTTCGGCTTGGAAACGGAGATGAGCACCGCATCCCTAGAGTCGGATTTGACTAGCTTTCGAGCAAGGGGAACCTTTACCTAGGTATACCATAAAAGAGAGAAAAATAAAAACGTTTAAGTTGTCCTGAAAACACAAATTATCTGCGCCTGGCGGAGAGGGTGTAACGTCACCTGGCCTCTTAGTCTCAGATTGCTGCGGGGAATGTGGGGGCCATCGGCGAAAAGCCCACGCAAGAAAAAGCCCCCTTGCTTAGGGGGAGCAGACTGGTCTGCGGCCCTGATTTGAGTCATGTGCGACAAAGACGAAGGACCGCGGTCCCCTTGAGGAACGAAGCCCAGAGAATAGCAAAACTGCGGGGCTGGGGCCTGCTACAGGCAGGTATAAGTGCCAAGGGGCGACCTTTGCACAAACGGTGATGGAGTCAGGGTGGCTGCAAGTGAGCGCTCCCAGCCCCGAAGTCCCAGCGCATCGTTCTTTGGAGGAGCACTAGATTTCTCCTTGAAAGGGACTTTCTTCCGAGCCCACTTGCTTAGGATGGTGCTGTTCAATTGGGTAACCTGCAGATCAGCCCTAAACCCTGCGTGTAGCTCGTGGGTGCCCTACGCTGACTGGGCAGAGGACGTGTATTTTTAAACAAGACCCGAGTCCAGGGAGATAGGAGCATAGCAACTGCTCTGGCGTCTATGGCAACACTGCCCACACATGTTCAGTGCAGTCAGGGCAGGAGCACGGGACGCGTAGCCTCCTCCCCAGGGAGGGCTGTGGCTTGCCTTCTGGGAGGCCGGCGTGCCCCCACGTCCCACGAGCCCTGCAGGGGGGGGGGCTGAATTCCGCTGAGGAAGCTCTCCTCCCAGAAGGACACCCCAGGAGAGAAGCCAGGTTCCCCAGCCACCCCCACACACAGGAAGCTCAGGGCCTCCGCTAGGCAAGGGTTCGTGGGCTGGACTGGGAACGGTGCCCTCCTCAGGAGCACCTTTCTGCAGGGCAAGGGGGAGGCGGATGCCAAGGCAGGGGCAGGCAGCTAGACACTTGAGGAAGTCAGCCTGTTGTCTCCCCAGCAGCTGGGGGGGGGGCAGTTCCCCTGTGGAAAAGGGGGTGAGAAAGGGGTGGGATCCCATCAAAGAGGGAATTCCAGGCACAGAGGAGACTTTGCACCTTCACATCTGGCACAGGCGTGTCGTTTTCCTTAGTGCCTTCCCATCTCGACATCTCTGTGCTGCATTCACAAGGCTCGTTGTCGCTGCTTATTCTTCCCAGTCGTCCTTGGTCACTATATCACTATATCTCTCCCCTGCCGCATCGCTTGCATGATTTATCACACACCAGCAACGCTTGGGAGGGACTGTGGACCGCAAGGAGCTCACCTCCCCTTACTGGAGCATCTTTGCAGACAGGGGAGACCCGTCTCAGTGCCCCCACCCCGTCCCGTTTTGAAGACCACTGAGGTTGGGCAGGAACAGGAGCTGGGTGTGGATCTCTCTCTCTTCCAAACTCCATTTAAACGCCGATGCACGAATCAGGGACAGAGTTCCGAACATGAGCTTCTTTTTGAGTGGAGCTGCCACCTCTTCTGGGTGTTGACAGGAGGCTTCTGGGCCTTTGGGAGGTGGTGTTGACAGACGACAGGGTCCCAGGTAGAGCTGTCCCAATCCCTGCACGCCCCTGCAATGCATGTGGGAGACCCAGCTGTGCCGGTCAAGCACCTTACTGGTGTGTAGTAGGAGTCGGGCTCTAGCAAGAGAGTTGGCAGCCACGCAGCGCAAGCAGCGGGCTGCGCACCGGACATTGCAGCTGCTGGCCGTGTGGTGAGCTCAGTGGGTGGCTGGTGCTGTACGGTGACCGGAGCCCGTCCAGGCAACTCTCCCTGTTGGAGGGCTGCCTGGGAAGAGCCAGGAGGCACCAGGGCAGCAATGAGTCATGTTCTGTAGTCGCAAGCAGGCTCAAGTGCTCAGCCTTTGGTGTGAAGACCAGCTTCAGTGAGTGGCACCTTCAAGGTTCTCGTCTCATCCCACTGCTTCTCAGCTCCCCGGGGGGGGAGGGCTCCGGAACAGTGGGATTCCTCTGCCGGGGAGCTGAGGGCAAGCGCCGAGCCCATAGAATCATGGAATGTTAGAGTTGGAACTGGGACCCTGCAGGTCATCTAGTCCAACCCCCTGCACTCTGCAGGAGCATAGCCGAAAGATAGCCCACTGCTCAGCCCCTCTTACAGTTAGGAAGTTTCTCCTGATATTTAGCCGGTATCGACTCCCTTGTAATTCCCACCCATTAGAGCTCATCTTGCAATCTGGAGCGAGAGAGAATAGATATGCTCCGTCTTCTACATGAGAGCCCTTCAAATACTTGAAGGCTGCAATCATGCCCCCTCTAAGCCTTCTCTTTCCCAGGCTGAACAGACCCAACTCTTTCAGCCTTTTCTCGTAAGACTTGGATTCCAACCCTCTCACCCTCCTGGTTGCCCTCTTCTGGACACGCTCGGGCTTGTCAACATCCTTCCTCAAATGTGGTGCCCAAAACTGGACACAGGACTCCAGGTGAGGCCTGAGTCCATAGCAGAACAGAGCGGAGCCACCATCTGTGTCCACATGTGCTGCTGGACCTGCTTTCGGGCTCTGGGCATGCAAGTCAACCGTGGCACGAGTGTCTGACCAGCAGCAGCAGCAGGGCTTGCAGGGGTTGGTGATCGTCCGCGACGAAGTGAGGTGTCAGTAGAAGCCCACAAACACCAGTGGCAGGATCCAGGGCCCAGGAAGAAGGAAGCCTCGCTCTGGGTGCAGGAGGTGCCGCAGGGCTGGCACCTCTCAGAGCTGTTCTGCTGCTGACCTCCCCCCCCCCAGCCCATAAAAGCCCCTGCCTCTGGCCGCCCCCCTCCTTGCCTCAGGAGCAGAGCAGGAAAGACTAGCCGGTCGAGATCAGGGAGCCACCGGTCCTTCGATGGGCGCCAGCTGCGATCATTGGAATGAAAGCTCCAGGTTCAGAGGGTGGATACTTCTGAACCTCTTAATTTAATCTGTTACGAAAACAAACCTCCAAGTACTAGAGGCGGCTGTCGGGCGGCCATTGTTCTCTGTGCCCTACTCGTAGGCTTTCGAGGGGCAGGGGGGCATTGTGTGAAACAGAGTTCTGGGCTGGATCCATCCTGGCTGTGTGCGCTCCGTTTTGTTCTTGTTGACTCTCGGGAAGCCTTGTGTGAATAAAAGTGCTGCCTGGGGACGAGTCTGCCACCACCCCCTTTAATTTTCTCCGTACTTTTATGTGGGTTGTAGAAAAGAGCACGGGGCTGCGGTGGCTCAAGTGGTTAAGACGAACTGCAGACCGGAAGGTCAGTAGTTCAGCAGTTCGAGACCCGAGTGCCACGTGAAGGAGTGAGCTCTTGTCTCCGGCCCCAGCTCATGCCAACCTAGCTGTTCGAAAGCAAGAAATTGCAAGTGGATAAATAGGTACCGCTTCGGTGGGAAGGTCACAGCGCTCCGTGCGCCTTGGCGTCTAGTCATGCCGGCCACATGACCACAGAAACGTCTTCGGACAGTGCTGGCTCTTCGGCTTGTTAACGGAGATGAGCACCACATCCCTAGAGTCAGATTTGACTGGCTTTCGAGCAAGGGAAACCTTTACCCTTTACTAGAAAGGAGCAAGTGTTCAGGGGCACTTTAACAAAGTTTGTGGCGGGGCAGGACCTTCCCTGAGTCACTGCTCATTTCTTCAGGAAAGCTCCTCCCCTGCCACAATTGGTGTTTGTCTCAAAGGTGCTCCCGGGCTCTTGATTTTTTCTACGGCTAGAGGCAGACTAACGTGGCTACCCATCTTGCTCTATCTTTATGGGGGGGTTGTTGACCCCCGGAACCTGGCTCATGGAGGGAGGAGCGTGAGGAGGAGGAGCGGAAGCCGAGGCAGGACAGGGTGCCATCGCCAGCCCTCCAGACCCTCTTGGGCCTTCAAGGAAGGCCAGGTGGCCTCCCTGTGCCCACTGAGAGAGACGGGCAGTGGACTGGCCAGGGCTCCCTCCGGTGAATTGCTTGACGAAGCTGGAAGGAGTTTGGTCAGCTGCAGAACTTTCAGGGGAGAGGTGCGCACTCTTAATCATGGACGAAGCCCTCTCGCAAGTACTTGTTTTGCAGGCACCTCAAAGAGATGGCTATGACGGCCGTCGACTTTCAATAGAGAAAACTCGCAATCTGTTCCTCGGTCGAAAGACTGGCAAAGCGGAGAACAATGCGGCAGGGAACTCTAGCATGAAAGCGATGGCCCGATCATCACGACAAAGAGGAGGCAAAATAAGAATCCAGCTGGAGAACCCAAAATAGCAGCGCCGGCAGCTCAGCCCACTCAAGGGTAGGAGCCTGGCAGGGCTGGCTTGCGAGTCTGGGTGGATCCAGTTCTCATTCAGGGGCTGCCTAGCAATGCTCCCTCTCAGCTGTGGAGTCCTACTTTGTGAGCTCCGGGCATTAAAGTGGTGAGCGAGCATTTTGGCTGCCACATAAATTACTTTGCCCTGGAGCCCTCCTTCCTGAGCTAAGAAAGCAGTGTGTGAGCTGCAGGCTAGAAAACTGTGAGCCAGCTCACACTCAATCAGCTTAGAGGGAACACTGCTGCCCCATCCAGTTCCCTCCCTGCTTTTGGGGGCTGTGCCAGTTCCGAACTTACCTTTGGAAATTCTCTCAGTTTAACCGGGCAGCAATACCTCCGGTGGACAGAATGCCAGAGGGCCCGAGCAGACAGTGGGGCTGTTCATGGGGCTGTTGTGACGGTTCCTCCCTCCCTCCCTCCTAGGTTGCTTGGGAGAAAACAGCCCCTGCAGGACTGACTGGGTTATGGTTTTGCCTTGGAGTGCAGCTGGTACCACGAGGGGTTTTGGGTAGGGCTCTCCCTCCAGAGGAGGAGTTGGTTTTTATATCCAGCTTTTCTCTCCCTTAAGGAGTCCCAAGGCAGCTTACAATCACCTTCCTTCCCTCTCCCCAGAACAGGCACCTTGTGAGGCTGGTGGGGCTGAGAGAGCTCTGAGAGAACCGTGACCGGCCCCAGGTCACCCAGCAAGCCTCAAGTGGGGGAGGAGGAGGGGATCAAACCCCCTGGTTCTCCAGATTAGAGTCCACCGCTCTTCACCACCACAGCATGTTGGCTCTCCCTACAATGGCCTCCACTCATCCGGGGATCTGAAGGGGGCTGGGTTTTAGTCTCGTTTTCTCCTGTAGTGTGTGTGGCTTTCCTTTGGAGTTAAACGGGGCTCTCAGAAGTGGTCTGGAGCTGAAGTTGAGTTGAACTGATGGATAAGAACATAAGAACATAAGAACATAAGAGATGCCAATGTTGGATCAGGCCAAAGGCCCATCCAGTCCAACACTCTGTATCCCACAGTGGCCAGAAATACCAGTGCCATCAGGAGGTCCACCAGTGGGGCCAGGACATTAGAAGCCCTCCCACTGTTGACCCCCCCCAAGCACCAAGATGACAGAGCATCACTTGCCCCAGAGTCCCTATCTATACCTTGTGGCTAATAGCCACTGATGGACCTCTGCTCCATATGCTTATCTAATTCCCTTTTGAAGCCGTCCATGCTTGTAGCTGCCACCACTTCCTGTGGCAGTGAATTCCAAGTGTTAATCACTCTTTGGGTGAAGAAGTACTTCCTTTTATCCGTTCTAACCCGACCGCTCAGCAATTTCATGGAGTGCCCACGGGTTCTTGTATTGTGAGAAAGGGAGAAAAGTACCTCTTTCTCTACCTGCTCTTTCCCATGCATAATCTTATAAACCTCAATCATGTCACCCCTCAGTCGTCGTTTCTCCAAGCTAAAGAGCCCTAAGCGCCTTAACCGTTCCTCATAGGGAAAGTGTTCCAACCCTTTTATCATTCGAGTTGCTCTTTTCTGCACTTTTTCCAAAGCTATAATATCCTTTTTAAGGTGTGGTGACCAGAATTGCACACAGTATTCCAGATGAGGTCGCACCATTGATTTATATAGCGGCATTATGATATTGGCTGATCTGTTTACAATACCCTTCCTAATAATCCCCAGCATAGCATTGGCCTTCTTTATTGCAGTCACACACTGTCTCGACATTTTCAGTGAGTTATCTACTACAACTCCAAGATCTCTCTCTTGATCTGTCTCTGCCAGTTCAGACCCCATCAACGTGTATTTATAGTTAGGATTTTTGGCTCCAATGTGCATCACCTTGCACTTGGCCACATTGAACCCCATTTGCCATGTTGACGCCCACTCGCCCAACTTTGACAGATCCCTTTGGAGTGCCTCACAATCCTCACTGGTTTTCACCACCCTGAACAACTTCGTATCATCCGCAAATTTAGCCACTTCACTGCTTACTCCCAACTCCATCATGGATGGAGAGGTTTTGTTTCTGGTCTTCTTCTTTGGTCCTCTGTCACTCTTTGCACATGGACCATGGTTTGGATAATCACAGACCACAAGAGAAGGGAAAATAGGTCGTGGGAATGGTAGGTCCTGCCAATAACTCAGGGCAAGCAGTCAGACCAGTGAGGGTCCATCTGGTCCAGCATCCTGTCTCACACAGGGGCCAGCCAGTCCCTCTGGAGGGCCAACAACAGGGCAGAGAGGCCGAGGCCTTCCCCTGAGAAGGACACCAGAAGAGCCCTGCTGGGTCAGACCAATGAG